CCGGCGTAGCACTGACCCAGTTAAAGAAACAATTAGAACCAAATGGAAAATTTCGACTTGGTTTCAGTTGATTCCATGAATTAGTACACCATTGGGCCATCTGGACCAATTGGACCATTTTGTTGTATGCCAATTGGGTCAAATGGTGCAATTAACACATTGGTCTGTAAAAGTTCTCAAGCTTGACACCTTATCGGTGAACCATGCCCAGGTGAAATTCCAAGATTAATCATAAAATTGGCCAGAACTTGCACAGATCTCAGCTGATATATTGCATGTCACGTAGTTAGTTCTTGGATAGGCCCAGGACCTGCTGGTCCAGCGAACTTCACACGGTCAAGGTGGGGAAACTCGAAAATTTATTTGAACACTTGCAGCAGGTGGTGTTATAATGGGAAAATATCCTCAGATGAGCTATGTGCTTGCGCGCATCCTTGTACACCACCTGAAAGAAATTAAGGCAATAATGACTCGTCAAACGTATACAATTACAGCAAATGTATAACGTTAATCTGACCCCTAGCCCAGTCTGGATTAGACCAGTCTGACCAGCAGTCGCTGAGGTAATGCCGTTCAAAAACTATGTAATGATTATTAGTGTTCGCTGTCGCAGCGGCTCATCATTTAGGATCCTTGACAAGCTTAATTAAAGAAAATTCAGTTTTGTGAAAAGAAGTCATGAAAACAAGAGATAAGCATAGCTTATTTCTTGTTTCCTCCCAATTATTTCTCTGTCAGCTGTGAGGTGTTAAAATTATTGGAAGACATGGACGTGTGCCACACACATACAGATGCACACACATGCATTTGCAGGTTTTAAGTCTGGTAGGCTCATTAGTACTAAATTTTTAATGAAAATCATTGGAATTTTTATTTACCAGAAATAATTTTGACTGACAAACTTTACCCCAATATATATCCGATGAATATATGCAAGATGTGCCGTATTGAGATCGCCACATTAAATCAGATACTCTGAGATTGTACCGAAAATCCACAAGGTGCCAAATTCGAAACCCTTCCGCCGCGGTGGGCCGCTGCCCTATGCAGCCTCAGCCTCAGCGACCAACTCTCGGTCGTCCAGAAGGCCCGCGAGATGACAGTCAGGCAAGGTTTTGACGTCCCCATGCGGGAGACCTAGGGCCCGGTCGGCAAAAGCTCTGCTGGACTACTAATAAATTTGTTACCAATTAACCAATGATGTTTGACCCTGGAAAGTTGCTCTAAAACATATCTTTTGGTGCTTCGAACCTACTCCAATACTGCCATTTTACTGCACCAAAGCTCCAAAACAGCATTATTTCTGCTCCCTGAGCTGCTTAAAAACACTAAAGTGCACTTCCGCCTTTGTTATCAGTTATGCTAGCCAGTCGCTATCGAAAGCAGAAGACAACTATTTCATAACAGAAAACGTGTGCCCTGCCATCATCTGGGCTACCTCCAAGTTTCGCCCCTAGCTCTACGGCGGGCCTTTCAAAGTGCTGAGCGACCACCACGTCCTCTGTTGGCTAGCTAACTTGAAGGACCATTCAGTTCGCCTTTCACAGTGGAGTCCGCGACTTCAAGAATTTGACGTTACCGTCGCTTACAAGTTCGGACGAAAGCACTCTGACACCGACTGCCTCTCCCATGCCCCTGTTGACTCACCACACTTCGTAGGAACCTTAAACAATGATGACTTTGCTGAACAACAGAGAACCAACCCTGAAATCAAGGGCCTTGTCGAATAACTCGAGGTCAAAGCTGCTGTTGTTCCACAGGTGTTCAAGAGAATTTTTTTCTTGCGAAATGGCATCCTCGTCAAGAAAAACTTCTCGATAGATCGGGCCAATTACCTTATAATAGTACCTTCGGCGTTACATCCAGAAGTTCTTGATGCTCTGCATGACGACCCGACAGCTGAACACCTTAGATTCTCCCACACGCTAGTGAGGATACAGAAAAAGTGTTACTGGCCCTGCCTCACTGCCGACGTCATCTACGTAAAAACCTGCCGCCGAGACTTTCAGCCATTCAAAACACCGCTGACAAGGCCAGCAGGCTTTCTTCAGCCAATTGAACCACCTCGCTGACCATTGCAACAAATCCGAATGGATCTACCGGGGCCGTTTTCGACGTCGAATTCTGAAAACAAATGGATCGTCGTAGCTACTGACTACTTCACCCGCTACGCCGAAACAAAGGCCCTACCCAAAGGTAGTGCTGAAGAGGTAGCCAAGTTCTTTGTTGAGAACATCATCCTTCATCATGGTGTTCTAGAGATTCTCATCACCAATAGAGGTGCGGCCTTTACTGCTTATTTGGCTCGGGTGATCTGGAGACATAGCCAGACAAGCCACCACTGCACCACTGCCTACCACCCACAGACAAATGGTCTCACCGAGCGGCTAAACAAGACAATCACCGACATGCTGGCCATGTACATCAACACCGAACACAAGACCAGGGACACCATCGTTCTGTTTGTGGCCTTAGCATACAACACGGCCATGCAGGAATGCAGATGCCCCCATACAAGTTGGTCTACAGAAGGAAGTTGGCAACGACGCTCGGCCTAACACTCCCCAACGTCGCTGACAAACAAAACCTCGATGTCACTCTCTATCTTCAGCACACTGAAAAATCTCGTCATCTCGCCTGCCTACACTTCATGAATCAGCAGACGACCGACCGCCACCATCACAATCTTCGACGATGCTTCATGAAATACCAGCCCGGTGAACGTGTTTGGGCATGAACGTCGATACGCCGATGTGGACTCAGTGAAAAACTTCTGCAACGATACTTAGGACTATACAGAGATGTACAATGTCTCGACTGTGAGTTTGTCCCCGACGGCATCACGAACTCTCAACGGCGCCAATCGCGACTTCAAGTCGTCCATATCGCGCAGTTCAAGCCGTTTCGTGCACGTTAACGAACTGAGAGAGTGTATTTTCTTGTTGCTGTTATTGTTTTTGTTGTTGTTATTGTTGTTATTCCTCTATCATGAATTATTGTTTGTACTTTCCTGCATTATTATTTTACTTTCATCTTCTGTTAAAGCCTCAGGACGGTGCCTTTTTCAGAGGGAAGCAATGCCACGTTCCTCCCACAAGTTTTGTTATCACCCTGTTCCACTGTATGTAATTCTCAGTGCAAACCGTGCATGTGCTGTTCGAGAAGCTTTGAGACGGTAGTAGATCATTTCGTTAAGATTACGCTCACTTCACGAACACTACAGATTATTCTGAAACCTACGTGGTCACTTGTGATAACACTAGAATATTCAATCGCACGGGTATCAACGCCGACGCACATCACCGCTTGTCAGTTGATCCCCGGTCGTCGCTCGCCGCTATCAGTGCTCGTGTGTTGCTGCAATCTGACCTTCAGTTACCTGGCCACAAGTTCGGCCGAATAAACAGTTTCATCTCAGCATCGAGTCTGTTACCTTCGTTCACGACACGATTACATGACAACATTTTTATTTGAGTAATGAAACTCAGAAACGAATGTTGTTGTTCACCAGAGAGTGTTTTCATGCTTGTTTTGTGCTATATAGTCTTTCATTGCACTTCCTGGTGTCATGAAATATCTCACAATGTAAAACTAGTACTTTTTTTTTATCGAACACAAGATATATCTTTACAACAGAAATCAAGATGAAATGGTCTTTACCGAAAATAAACTGTCGCAGCTTTTTAGTTTTTATTTTATGACTCCAAACCCTTCTTTACTTGAGAGTTTGTTTTTTCGTGCCCACGATGTTGCATTTGAAGGCATGTGAAATTTTCTGCAAGCCACCTACATTTTTCTCTCATGTTCAACTCTTAACGTATTAGCACTAGGCAACGTTGATCCACGTGCCATACGGGGGCAGCAGCGTTTATCCATGGCAGCAGAGTTAATACACTAGAAGGTATTGCTGTCATAGTTTTTTTATTTTGTTATGACCAGGTAGAAACCTATAAAATGCCCTGTTGCATGATTCTCATATAAAATCATGCTAGCATCCTCAAGCTGCGTTAGTGCAACAAGAATATGTTTACATATTGTCAGTCAGATGGCAGAAAATTCTTGTCAATTACTTCAAACCAACGCTCATCGTGTTCTCCGTTCTATGCACGTCGTTAGTCATTGGCATATTCACAGAGGTGAACAGTGGCTCAATGTCAGTCCATCATGTACTGTTGCCACCCAGCTTGGCTGCATTGAAGTTCACTGCATGTTTGCGCTGAAAGTGCTAGTGACATCAGGCAGCATCTGTGCCGAGCAAAACTGAGCTATCATTGGACCAATGGTGGAACACATTCAATCATGGCAGTCTCTCGGGCGAAGCTCCTTAAGGCATCACCCGATCGTCCTCTGTAGTAACCACTGCCGGTGGCACATACCCGCCCCTCGTTAATTCTTGAACTGGCCATAAAGGGCGGTACTTGTACTATTTGTTGAAAAATGCAAATGGTACGACACTAGAGGGTGTTACTTGTAGAAAAAGAAGGATTGATGTCACACGTACAGAAAGAGAGAGAGATGATTGCGCGACAACGATCGCGTGTTCTTCGGCAACGCCGTATGCTAGGGGGCGCACTATAGTACAAATAATGCGCCGTTGTGACGCGTGCGTGCATTCAGAAGCTCGGCGACGGAGGATGAGCAAAACTGCTGAGCGGCGTGCGCATGGCGGCGGTGGCTCAAAGAAGGGACCCCGATGGGTGGGCGCATGAGGCAGAAGCACGCCACGAAGCTGTGCAGCGGCGCCGCGAGGACTCTGCACTACGAACGGGAGGCCGAAGCGGCACGGCAGGGACGTGCAGGCCCAGCTTCGCCCCACTCTTCATCATTGACCCTATGGATATGCTGTCATTTTTTTTCTCTCCCATAGTATTCTCCTATCCTAAGGTCCTACTTCAGCTACTGAGCACAGTTGGCATGGCTTAGCTGAGAGTGTACAGAGATGATAGCCCTTGCTGGCTCTCACGTCATGCAGCCGAAGAACACAGCTCCATTGGTTGCAGGTGCACTGGGACCAACTGCAGTTGCTCATCTCCAAGTCGACCACACCCGACCTGGCCAAGATGGGAGCCAAGCTGGAGGAGTTCTTCTCCCAGCAGTTCCACAGCAGTCGAAGAGTGTTCTCATCTATGCGGCTGGCTGGTCCTCGACCACGTCGTGCCGACCGCATAGGCGGGGGTCCTGACGAGAGTCGCCACACTCACCAGCGCCACTGGCAAGGGGCCCTGGCACTGGTGTCCGGCTTGCAGCTAGGTTGGGGTCTACGCTTGCCCTTGCACGGCACCTTGGTCGGGGGTAGCATGGACCTGCAAGGTGGCAACGTCTCGCTCGCCTGTTTCCATGGGGTCAGCTTTCGTTCAAAGGCTTGGGCCTTGTTCAGCCTCCGGCAGCCAAGCATACACTTTGCCACAGAGGCCCAAGATGTGCTGGGCCCACAGGTGGGTCCTTTCTTTTCTTTTTTGATGCATGCTTTTGTATATCGCTTGTGATCACGGCCCCCATGGGGGAGCTACAGCGTGAACGTACTTGTTTGAGGTCAATTCACTCGATGTCCACAATCCCTTTTTTGCAGAAAGACTAGTTGGTTGGTGATAATCAGCCTTGGGCACTACACATGGCATAATTAGTGATTCCCAAAGTGCGAGGGATGGCACTGGTCCCATTGTGCCGAGGTTATGCTGACATGTGAGGAGGAGCGATGATGCTGTCTAGGGCTGGTGGGCTGGGGACAGTTTTGCTGTTCGTTCCCATGAACTCTGTCGAACGATGGTGGTATTGCATTCAAGTTACTTTGTGTGTGTCCATGTGCCTGTTCACTATTGTACATACTGAGTTTGTTTGTTCCATGAGCAGCTCTCCACACTCCTCAGTATTCATCACAGTATTTCGTATTGGTGCATTTAACATCAGTAAATATGCATATAGTTATAACTTCCACGTTCTAGCAGAATAAAACTAATGCACTTTTTTTGGCATATAAACTCAATAATAGTACTCTTCACTCAAGTTCAGTGAAGGCATCATTAACCAACGTACTGTAAAAAAAGTTTCGCCATGTGGGTCATGATCTTTATATAGTAAAGCATACACTGCAGGAACGAAGGGTGCCACAAATGATCTATATAAATAAAAAATTCAAAAATAAAAAACGCAAGAAGCCAAAGACATGTAAAGTAAGCTCAGCACTTCCTTACACAATATATACACACATTATAAAGTCATATTTACAGTACAGGTGCATGTCCTGACATGGCGGTTTCTCCGGTGTAGAGCAGAGAGGCTCGTCACGTCCGCAAAGTTTGTTGCATTTCTACCGTATGGCCACCAACTGCACCGTTGAGTTGCTGCAGTATTACTTCACCACATTGTCAGGTCCCCACAGCGGCTCTATCTCTTGGTCTTTTGATGTGCACGCTACGCAGTGAAGCCGCAGGACATCTGGGGCATCCTCACAGGGATGACGTCGCTGGGCCGAGCTCAGCTGCTGGTCATGCCCCGCGGCTCACAGGGTGTTGCTGAGAATGCTGGGGCACTTTGGCAGACTCACACATATTCGTGACTCTGTGGATAATTTGTACACAACACTGCAGTCACCTTAAAGCGCATCACTGTTATTGCCTTGGTATGCTACAGACCAGCACGCAAGCTATCATATACCGTACTCACATAATCCTCACACTCTCGTAATTCTTGCACCCCACACTTTTTCCAACAAAGATACGATTTTTTTTCCACGCTTATTCATACCACTTTTGAAAATTGCTGCTGTAATGTTGTCGGCTTCTTCCAACCTTTGATGATGACAGTGTATGGCAGCCTAGCACCATCTTTTAAGCATTCTACGTACCATCATCAAGCAGAGTCTCAATCTGATTCAAGCCAAGCCAAAGTGGCAAGTGTGCGTAACGGTGTGTTAGTGTACATTGCGTTGATTATGTGTTTACACTATGAAGCGATACGGAAGGTACACGGCTGCTTTCAAGTTGAAGGTGATCATGCCCTAAACAATAGCAACAGGGCTGCCGACAGTCACTTTGAAGGCGACGAATTTAGAGTTCGCTACTGGTGACTGCAGCACGGGCAGCTCAAAGTCGCCAAGATGCGCTGGGCCTTTGGTGTGCCTAAGACTGAGATGGGTAGTAAAACTTTATTTTATCACGTAGCTGCGGGCGATTTCGTGCTAGTGGCAATCAGCCCAAAGGTGACATCATTTGCTAAACTTTTACGGGCTCCCAAAGAGTGATGAATGCTAACGCCATGCCCGCAAGCTTTGCATACGGTATTCCTAATCTCTCTACTATTTGCTTGAAGCTTTTGTGTGTGAAATAAATCTTGTCTTATGTTGAACCTGTGGTTTTATTGTTATGGTAAATCTTGATTAGTACCTCTCAAAGCTTGTAGTTAGTTGCTAGCTTGATAATCTAGAAAGGCAACCATTTCGTTTCTTTGTTCCCCGCTCCGTACGTTTTCTCGATAAACTTCCCTCATGTATTTCTCGCACTCCCAACTTCTCATCGGTTTTCAGCTAAATAAAGTGCAAGGAATATACGAGTAAATTTGGTAGCACCTATATATGCATGCATGAGTTAATTATAAAAGTAGGCGGGGCTGTATGCTGCAAGCACTGTGACTACTGCTCAGCTGCTAACCTTTCTCATAAAAATCCGAATATGATGAATATTGTTACCCAGTGGTACTGTTTAACGATACAAAATTGTTAGGCCTCTTGTTGAGAGTGTTCTGGATGTCGAGTATAAGAGAAATACTAAACAGCCATGCATTACATGTGACAATGGTGGGCGATGTTGCACTGCTTGCACAGGAAGAATTTCATGCCTCATGAGGGTCACTTCACTGTTATTAAAAAAAGTTTCTACTTCAGATACTCTGGCGCTCACAATTTATTGCACTTTGGAGAAATGTTATGTTGTGCATGCATTCCTAATCTTTGTGCCTTTAGACAATTGTCGTATTTAAGTTCCAAAAAAAATTCACACCTTATGTACCAGAAAATGTGGCGTGTAGATATTGTGCAGGTACAATTTCTATTAATGCTTGCAGGCCCACAGAACGTTCTCTCTATAGTGGTATTTCTGATCAGTCTGCGGCAGAGTGGCATTGTGCATCTCCTTGGGGATACCATTTTGCTCTGTCGTTAGCAGTGGGTGCGTGTTCTGCTCGCAGGCTGCCGTGGACACGCATGTGGTGCAGCACCTGACCTTCCGGCTTGGCCATGCGGCTGGATCATCAGGCTGTACGGGTAGTATGGCCACTGTGTGCCGTATCAGTCGCAATGTCCTCTTCCCACCGCAGTTCAAGAGTGTTAGCGAGTGGTTCCAGTATGCATTTGCCAGCAGTGAACTGGACGACGTGGGGCGCTTCCCAGTGTTTGAAGGAAGGCCCTCACCACCACGCCCACCCGAGGCTGGGCACACCATGGAGATGATCTTTGCCTTCCCGAGCCTCGAGCTGCATATGAAGACTGAGCAGCTGCAAGGGGAGCACAGTCCGGGACTTGATGGTCGGTGATACACATAGCCTGAGGCCCATAGCCATCGCTGACCTGTGTATCAGCAACACTCTTCTTCTCATTGCAGATTCCCGACCAGTGGTAGAATGCAGCTTCGTTACCGAGTTCGATGACCACATCTTTGTGGCTGTGGACGCCGAGGCATTCTTTTTTCTGCACAACCTCATCGTGTCATACATCCGGGAAAAAGACGGAGGTTTGTCTGTTATTGCTCCCTCGAAAGTAATTATTCGCTAAAATTTTTTCAGGATATAGTCACTTGAAAATAGACAATTTGGCAGTTTTTTTGCCAATAATTTCTGTGGAGTCCTGCAAGGTTGCTGAAGGGTTAATGAAAGGAAATTGTTGGCAGCAACGAAGAAATCTGTCAAAGAACTGAAGCAGCATGCACATAGCTAGAATAATAAGACTGGGGGTCTACATTGAGCTAAGCCGCCGATTAACGACACCATTGCATTCACTTTACCACTTGTGTAAACCATAATATAAGTCGAGATATTTTCAATAAAACAACGAGCTAAAATCACCCCTCATCTTGCATAGTGGTATCTAGTCGACAGTGTGCCGCGGTCTAGAAACACGTGGCTTGCATGTGTGTACAAAGCTGGACACAGCCATATCCACACCCAAATTCAATAGCAGGCTTTTTTTCCCCTCTATCTTTGTCGTACTTGTGTTCGTGATTTGCTTTCAATCTGTTTCGAGTTTTTGCTCCTCTTGACGATGCGTTTGATTTCTAGTTCTTTCTTTTTGTTCACTGAATATGTGTAGCAGTACGAGGAGGCAGTTCTCAGCTGCGTTTAAACTAAATGTAGTTGAGTTCACTTCCTTGAGTTCAGAGAAGCGAACTGCAACATGGCTGCTCAGCGCCGCTTTGGTGTATACGAAAAAAGCGTGTGCTATTGTAGAACGCAGAAAGGGAAGCCGCAGATGTGCATTCCTCGGAAAATGTCGCTTCGTGGGCGAAGTGCAGTTCTTTCGCAGCTGGAGGATATGCTAGCGGACTTCGTGCGGGAAGTTCGTGCATGCAGTGACCCTTGATACCATTCACGCAAAAAAAACCATGGAACTCACAAGAGAAGAGTTTTCTGCACCAAACGTTTGGGTGCGTCGATTTATGAGATATAAAGGATTTTCTCTCCAGCGGTACACATCCATCTGTCAAGTTACTGGAGGAGTTCGAGGACAAGCTTATAAACTTTCAGCACTTCATAAACCGGCTTCGGGAGCAGAACAACTACGTGATGGGGGCAGATTGGCAACGACGATAAGACCCCCGTGTGGTTTGACATGCCTCCATCGACTACAATCATGCAGCGCGGCGCCAACAATGTGAAGATATTGTCCACTGGTAACGAGCACTCATGCTTCATCGTCATGCTGGCATGCGCAACAGACGGTAGAAAGCTTCTGCCCTTCGTAATTTTCAAACGCAAGACAATGCCGAAGGAAGTGTTCCCGCTCGCTGTTGTCGTTCGCGTCAACAAAAAGGTATACATAGACGAGGCTATGATGCTCGAATAGATACGAGTAGTGTGGAACCATTGGCCAGGTTCACTGCTGCGTTCTCACAGCATGGTAGTGCTGGATGCGTTTCGTAGTCACCTGACCGATGCTGTGAATCGTGCACTCGGCGATGAAAAAACAGACCTCGCCGTGATACCAGGTTGTTGTATCGCCACCGGGGCACCGTCTGACGGAGACAATGGGTGCGTTAGCACTGAAGCGCTGTGAAGAACGTCATGTTAGGATTAGAGCCGGGAGGAGACTGTTTATGCAGAGAGCGTGCATTGGCACGTAACAATGGTTATTAATATAGCCATTGTGTGGCGCCACGCGACACATTCCATCGAAACAGAAACTGATAAGAGGTCCATGAAATGCCCGACACCACATCTTCTCCACTTAGAAAAAAAAGGAGACTTAAAATCTTGCGTACTTGTACAAGAGAACGCAGATGAGTTATACACGACTAGCGCCACAGTATGCAATCACAGTTGTTGCCAACATTATACAGCGGCAAGGCTCTGAAACGGATGTGAAATAATAACGTGCGTAAAATAGACTAGTAAAAATGCAATAAATCTTTGGTGCACATGACAGTTTGGCTTAATGTTTGAAAATATCTTACATAAGATTATGAAATAAAACAACATTGTACATTAGTTATCACATGAAATGTAGGAGTATGCTCAAAAAACATAATCCTTGTAACACGCCGGTTTTTTTTACGGCGTCGCTTGGGACGATGACATGTCGGAAGATGAGGTGAAGTATTCACCGATGGAGCCTTATCTATCTCAGAAAAATTTGAGCCTTGAGACTCACTTACGTGCTCATGGTCGGAAAGCGGTAGCGATTCTGGAGTGTTCGTACATGACACATCCGTACCTGAGACATCTTTCCCCCTTCTAAACAATCTGCACTGGGGCTAGGCACATCAGCCGTTTCTTGTGAAGGTCCCTGTAAGGTGGTTTGCGGAAGAGTCACTAACTGGGGCATTGCAGAAGAACATGAAGGTGGGGATTAATTCTGTTGCATGAAGGAAGAATTAGACAGAGGAAGTGAATTCTGTTGTGAAGTTGAGTTTTGCTCTGCATGAACCAGTAGGAGCTATGAAGCATTCCATACATTGCCATCACTCAGGCAGAATGAATTCAGTCCAAGTTGACTAGTAATTGTATATGGACTCTTGTAATTAATCTCCTTGCGCAAAAGACAAACTTTAACCGTGTGGCCCACCTGTAGCTTAGGAGGCTTTTCTCCACGCTTTGAATCAATGTGTTGCTTAGTTGCCTGTTGCTTATGGAATACTTGCGTTCTCACAGGATCCAACGTTGGCAGAAGAGCAGAAGACTTTGGGTGTATCCCTGCAGTGTCAATTGCAGAATGCGGTTGGCGATTATGCAAAAGTTGTGCAGGTGAAAAGCCTGTAGTAGCTTGAGGCATAAAGCAATATATGCCTAAAAACTCTGTAACAGCATGTTTCAGTGGGCGGCATTCAAGTTGAGCAAGCCGAATTTGCTCTTTCGGAACTCTGTTAAAACGTTCAACTTGGCTGTTGCCTTGTGGATAGTAGTTCAATCAGCAAAGATGCTGAATGCCTCTTTCTGAGAGGAAAGTTTCAAATAGTTTCGACTTGAACTGAGGACCGTTGTCTGTAACAATTATCTCAAAGAAGCCTTCCCTACTGAAGAGTGCTGTCAACAATGTAATTAGCACTTCAGAAGTGACTGCATGAATAAAACAAACTTCTGGCCACTTAGCGTGGTAGTCAACTAATATAATTGGAAATCTGCAGTTGTATGAAGCACATTCGAGTGGACGGACAATGTCCATGCCTAGCTTTTCCCACGATTCGCTTAACCACAAGACAAGCTGGAGAAGTGCAAAAACAGGTTTAGCAGGTTTATCGGCTGTTATAGCGTGCCCTTTGGATTCAAGAGGAGACAATCCTCTGGCACTGACATTGTGTCCTAAAAATGGAATTTGCTTGATGGCAAAGACACATTTGTCGTTCAGTTTCATTCCAGTAAGATGTCTGAAATCATTTTCTGAGAAGCAGCAGGGGCAGATGCAAGCCCAAAGCAAGCTCTATGGAATCTGAATAAACCATCAAGTGTTACAAAGATGGTTCTCCACTTGATTCTGACAAGTTAACCTGATGGCACGCTGATGCAAGATCTAGCTTTAAAAAGTAAACAGCGCCTGTAAGTTGGTGCAGAAGTTCTTCAATGAGGGTTGGGGAAACTCATCAACCATGACAGCTTTGTTTGGTTCACGCAAGTCCACGCAAAGTCTTAAGGAACCGTTCTTTTTCTTCACCACAACCAGTGGAGAGACCCAATCTGATGCTGAAACTTGTTCGATGACGCCTGCTTTTTCAAGATGAGAAAGTTCACCGGAGACTTATTGTCAAAGTAGGAATAACAATCTGCGAAGTTTGGCAGCGACTTGCTGCACCCCTGAACGGCGTTTCATTTTGTGCATGGAGTCTTTCACCAGTCCGAGTTGCTGGTTGAAGAGGTGATGAAATTCAGAAAGAGCATTGGCAGAAATTCTTAGGGTTTTTGAACCTGAAACTTGTGAGCAGGACAATGTTGCACCGTCGATGGTTATGTGGAGACTTCGTATAGCATCCAACCCAAGAAGTGAAGAACCCTCTTTCATCACGTAAAATGTGACAGCAGCAGTGGTATCATTGTACCGAAGGTTTGTAGAGAAGTATCCGAGGTTGGGAATGCATTTCTTCAAATAGTCCTGAAGAACAAGGTATGAGTCAAGTAGTCTGGTCCCTGAAAAGTACTTCTTGAAATCTTGTAAGTTAAGCAATAATGCGGTTTCACTGGTGTCAACGAGGAAATGAATGTGGTGTGATGTGACCAACTTGAACAGTAATCTTCAGTGCCGAAGGACAGCTAGAGCGTTCATCAATGTAAAGGATTGTAACTGTGTTTGTTACAGCAGTATCTTGTACTTCATTTACGTTCCGTTGAGACAAGCCGACATTTAATGAGCGGCATACAGCTTGGTGGTGATCTGAATTTCCACAGGCAGAACAAATGCAATTGAGGGCTTGACAATTAGAAAAATTCACATAGTTTTAATGAGATTCACATCTGTAGCAGACACCTGATTCAGATCGGTGTGATCTATCCTGTTGGCTTGCAAAATTTGATGTAGTAAGACGAAAGTCGTGATGCCCGTGGCCATGTTGGCTTCCTGCAGAGTTCTTTCAGGGAAGGCCATACTTTTGTTTTTGGTGCCCATCTTGTGGACCTGGATGTAATCCGATTTTCTCAACTGGTGCGTTCACAAATTCCTGCATTTCGAGTTCGGTACGGTCCTCTTCCTTCGCAATTCGAATTGCTTGCTGTAAGGTAAGGGTAGGATCCAGTTGCAAGAGTCGTCTTCGCACATTTTGTGCAGTTATTCCGCTGAGCAGCTGATCACAAACCATGAAATTGGCGGATGCACCAAAGTTGCATTTGCTGGCCATTGTCTGTAAAGCAAAAACATAGTCGTTTACTGACTCTCCCGGCATTCGCTTGCACATTTTGTAGTGCTGACGCTCTAGGACTTCATTGCTTGGAGCGTTGAAAGGGTTCTCTAGCAGAGTGAGTGCTGCGATATATTCATTCTGAGTGCCTTCGTCCCGAGTCCCATCTCTGCTTTCCACCTGGTCCTGTGCATTTCCTAGTATCCAGTAGAAATTAAGGCCCTCAACTCCGAATGTGTTAAGTAGTAGACTTTTCTTGAGAACGGGCCGGGCAGTGTCTCTGGCGGTGACGTCGACGTACGCCTGAAAGACATGGTCCCGTTTGGCCCAAGGCACAGGAGGGGCGCCCGTTGTTTGCAGGAATGGCAAAGGAACAATCACAGAAATCATGCTGGAGCGTTGAGGCACTGACGAGTCACAGTCGCCAGTATGCGTTGGCGATTCACTGGTGCCAGCAAGCATTCGCCAAACATGCAGGGGTGGCCGCAGTTGGCCTAATGCATTTCGTGTAGCATGCAAATAGGGTAGTGCCCTCTAAATGCGGCCAAAAAAATAGCAATCCGCGAAGAAAATCGACAGAAAATGCCGATAAACTATGTAAGCTGCTGACTTGTTCCTGCCAGAGCACTGTAAAGAAATTCATACTCGGCCGAGAAACTGGAGGAGACTGTTTATTCAGAGTGCGTGCATTGGCACGTAACAATGGTTACCAATATAGCCATTGTGTGACGCCATGCGACACATCCCATCGAAACCAAAAATGATCGGAGGTCTATGAAATGCCCAACACCACACAGGTGGTATGAAGTCTACCTTTCAGCCACTCGACGTTGTACTAAACAAGCCATGCAAGGACCGAGTGCAGCTGGAGTACCAAGAGTAAATGTCTGGCGACAACCCAAAGACGCCGACAGGCCGCCTACAGAGGACTCTGCTTGCGACTGTTTGTAGATGGGTGGTTTTTGCCCGGTGTTTCTTGCTAGATTCTATGGGGGAGAATGTTTTCAAGAAATGTTGCGTGAGCAACATACTGTATGGCACAGAAAACGACGCACTGCGGTAGGCAGCCGGCAAGAAACTCTCGTCTTCAAGAGACAGTGCTGCTTCGTTTGACGAGTAGGAACAGTTGCGATGGTGGTTCAGGGGAGCTCTGAGGATTGCGGTGCGGTGTGCCCAATTCACAAATAAATGTGTTTCGGCAGTTTTGGGTTGTTTTTCTTTTTTTTTTCTCTTTTTTGGTCACCTAAACTTGGGAGGTCAACATATATTTTCACTCGATCTATAGTTCGGTTTATATGGTAGTTACGACTGTCTAGCAGTTGCGTGTTGTAGTGACACGTATTCAGAAGGAATACGGCCACTAGCCTGGGTCCGGTTTTAGCGAGCCGCGGGGCACGCGTCAACCATCGCTGTGCAAGAACATGATACTGCTCAAGGTCGCAACACTTTTGTGTCTGGCAACACCAAAGCGCAGTACAGCCCATTGCAAAGGCACGGCAGGAAAGCAAATGGGCTTATCCACGCCACCGGGGAGAAGTACTACACAGAGGTGCTGCGAGCACATCTTTTTGGTAAAAGTGATCCACGGAGACACTGGGACCAAGGCTCAATTGCTCAAGCGAAGGAAAAGGCACTCACTTTGGCTTCGGAGAGATACGGGTCAACAAAGCTTGGCCACACACTAGAACAAACGTACTGCTCTTTGGCCTAGCGTACGCAAAGGGGCGACAAAAGATGAGCGTTCGCCTCGGGCGCGAGGCGCCGTCAACGAAGTCTGATGATCCCCAAACAATGGGAGTCGACGGACGGAAAAGGGAATGCGTGCTCACCCTTAGCTGTCCCAAGAGACGTCCCAAGAGACCAAACGTGCGGGGCCACAGTCGACATCCGCTACTGGGTGAGAGTAGTTGTGCGTCACTCCTCGCTCTCCCAGCGCGGGAGACAGCGAAAAAGGGTAGTCATGTCGAAACATGAGAACGGCAGAAAAGGCGGCAAAGCCCGCGCTAAGGCTCAATTCCCACAGGTGTAGCCATGCAACACCTGACATATTATATCATTGTAAATATATTATTTTCAAAAGCCATGATAAGGCTGACGTCCATAATGTCTGCGTAAAATTTCAAAACTGCACTATTGAATAGATTTCTACGTATAAATTTCTAGGTGTTGTTTTTGAAGAAACTATGAGCTGGACACCTCACACAAGCAAGATCTATGCAACCATGTGCAGGTCAATTACAATAATATAAAACGTTAGATCCTTGGTACCTAAAAATTGTAGTTATACTATGTTCTTGTTCTCTCTCTTCTGCAATACTGCCTCCTAATCTGGGGTACCACTACCCAAACAAATTTTTGCCCCGCCGCGGTGGTCTAGTGGCTAAGGTACTCGGCTGCTGACCCGCAGATCGCCGGATCGAATCCCGGCTGCAGCGGCTACATTTCCGATGGAAGTGGAAATGTTGTAGGCACGTGTGCTCAGATTTGGGTGCACGTAAAAGAACCCCAGGTGGTCGAAATTTCCGGAGCCCACCACTACGGCGTCTCTCATAATCATATGGTGGTTTTGGGACATTAAACCCCACATATCAATTAATTACTCAAACAAATTTTGATAGATTATCAATTTTACAAAAAAGAGTTGTTTATTGTATCGGAAATTTTAAATGAAACGACCAAACAGTGCAATCGTTTTCCAAGCTTCATATACAAAAAACTTATCAGCTATTTAAACTAAAGCTTGCTATGCATACGCATAGATAAATTTACATGACCCTCAAATCCTGTCTCCATCTTCATTATCTGTCCATTCTAATTATCACCTTAGGCACAATCAACTTGAAAAGCCTATGTTTCGAACCAATTATGGTACTCAAACTTTTGCCTACTTAATGCCACATAAACAACCGATAAATTGCAAATGTGATTCAGGCCAACTATTCGACATACCACCTCTGAAAAAAAGTTCGAGGTTACCATTTGATTAGCTCCTGATCCTTCTTTTATATTGTGCAAATGCCATCTGTACCTTTGTCACTCCTATTTCTTTTATACTGTTCTGTACCCTTCATCATCAGGGCTCGTAAAAACAATTTCATAGATGTGTTATTTGTTGTGTACTGAATGTAGCTATTTTTCTTATTGTGTTTGGATTGTCTGTATGCTGTGTGCTGTATTTTTACCATATATTGTTACCTATGTTTGCCTATGCTCCACAGTGTTCCACTCCTGAGCAATGTATGGGTAGGGGGGCCTTTGTCAGGCAGTCATATCTGCCTTTAGCCCCTTCGTCCCAGACAATGACTGTCTGAATAAAGTTCAAATTCAATTCAATTCATATTCAACATTCCTACTGTCCAAGGCTATGTCTAGTGTAGCACCGTGTTTAGGGAGAGATAGAGGTAAGCTGTTGTTACTTCTCGTGCCATACGTTTTCTCACAGTTAAGTTTGTCCGACTGTCAGCAGCAATTTCTTGTGCTATGACATCCGCATTGCTTGTGATGTAGCTGTAATTATGTTACCATGGTCATTGGGTCAGCAGGTGCCTGAAAAAGAAAATTTCTGGTATATGTTTACTAAGCTATGCATAAAGCAAATGGCTCATTTTATCTAGGTGGGGCAGCCAAAAGCCAGTCGCCGGAAAGCGAGCGCCGAAAGCGAAGTGTCGCAGAGTCGCTGGAGTCTCTGCACCGAGATTTCCGTGACTACCAGTGTTACACATGGCACCTGGAGCCAACTGTGCGCCTCCTCTCCTGGGCAGGGAAGGGCATCGAACCTTACGGCGTGGACTATATTTTGCACAAGCTGGGCTTTTCACATGCCCGTGTCACTATCCCCAAGTGGCTACAGCGGGGATGCATGGACCCCTTGGACCTCTTCCTCTCCCTCATGCTTGAGCGCATGCTTAAGGCTGTGCGACACTCATAATTTATTCTTGTTGATTTTTAGTCTTTTAATTGTGCATGTACAGGCATGTTGGTTATGTGTGGTGAAATACATGAAATAAACAACACAATGTTTAAAAAAGTGACTTGAGCTTTCTTTCTTGCTCTGCGTAAAGACAATGTCAACATTGTCCTAGGTATCCATGTAGAGATAAATAATTTCAAATCACACACAGCACAATAAGCTCGACTACTGTATACAAAGCATTTTGAATGAATATCTCAGCTGCACAAGGGGGACCGCCAGGAGGCGCCAAGCTGTGAAGACATGTTCACACTGCGCTCCGCTTTCCCGAAGCTTTTCTAAGAGCAATTTCGCGCAAACTCAACTAACAATCTTATAGTCTGCTTTGTGAAGTTCTCCTGATTCCACGGATACCCAAAGCTTGGGCCAGGATCAACTTTACGAGAAGAAACCATCGCAGGCAGATTGGATGACCTTGTTGAGACGCTCACCTTAACGACCACGGCCGGCGTCGCGCGTCCCGGAAGGTACTTCGACGTGCGGAACACGACGGTGTTGTGTGTTTGTGGGAGCACGGACTAGCAGATAGCGAACTTTGGACACTTGCTTTGCTGCCACGGGACAGAGATCGAAGGTGAGCGATGTTTACCTCACTTTCTTGACCTGTTTTGTGACACGACAAAATGCCGGCGGGAAAGCTCTGTCAGCCTAAGCGCTCCGACTAACTTGGCAGGAGCGGCGGTCACTTTTCCTTTGTTCTGCCAAGCATGGCTGGCCGGGGCTGATCGCCTTTTCTCGCCATATGGAAGTTGACGAAGCTTATCCCGGCCCTTCTCGGGCACCGGAATCACTCACCGCTGACACGGACGCGAGTGGCGTCTCGTCTCGGCAGGCAAAGGATGACGAACCAGCGTCTGTTGACGCGACTCTCGGAAACGAGACTGGCGACGCGACTTGTTCGGAACGCCATGGATGGACTGAGGATGCCTGGCATACCGTTTTATCGCGCAGGCAAAAGAAAAACCAGTTAAAAAAGCAGCGATCACAGATGGAGAAGGCTGTGAAAGCGAACGAGAAATTTGAAAGCGATCCGCCCGCCGAAAAACAAAAACATGAAGCCACGCAGGGTTTCAGACGGAGAAAGCGACGCGGCCCACCTCCACTACCGAAAGAGGACATCAAGATTATTCTGAGGCCGCATAAGGGTCTCTGGGTAAAAAACATATTGGGACTGGAACTCTCCAGGGCTGTGATAGATGCCTGCCAACGAAGTTTCAATGGCAATGACTTTCTGTTGCGGGTTCACCCAGGATCGAACATTGTAATCCTATCTACGCCAAGCATGGAGGTAGCGAGTAGGCTGCGAGGTATCAGTCAACTAAAGATCAGGGGACAAATCCACGCTTTCAATGCATACGTGGCCGACCCCGAAGGCGTCTTGCGGGGAATTGTACATGGAATACCGGCCGGGACTTCGCAAGATGAACTCATGGAGAACCTACGTGTTCGGACTCAAGGGGTGAATATTGAGAGAGCAAGAATGTTGGGCTCGTCTAAAACGGCGATTATCACATTCACGGGCAATGTGCTACCGAGGAGCGTATACATAATGGGTGCCGAGTTAATATGCTACCCATACAAGCCAACAGTACAGGTGTGCAAGATATGCCTCCAAACCGGACATCGTACAAACGTCTGTCCAACTCCAAATGTCAATGTATGCCTCAAGTGCGGGGCAGGGGAACCAATGCAAGGACACGACTGCATCCCCAAGTGTGTCATCTGTGACGGTGAACACCCCACAGGAGATAGTCTGTGCAAGAAAAAACTTAAGAACGTCGCTCCTCCCAAGAAATTGAGGACAGATCAGCCAAAAGACTGGGTTAGCCAACCTGAATATACCGGCGATGCCAAGTCGTCAGAAGAATTCCCTCCACTAAGGATGAACATGCCTCGATGGTTCAGCTCGGACCGGATGGAACAGCGCCAGTCAAGGTCACGTTCACGATCCCGATCAAGATCCCAGTCAAGGTCGCGATCGAGATCTCGTTCAAGGAGGGACAGACGTCACACTAACACGGCACCACCGGCCCCTGGGAAACCCAGCTTAAAGAACCAACGAAAGCATCGCGGACCTCCGGCCGAGATGGGTTCCTGCGAGGAATCACAAGACGCCCTAGCCGCCGGCCGGACAAACATAAATCAGGTGAGCTTTGCGGGGTCAGTGTCTTCCAATGCTCCTGTAACAGAAAGTCCACAATACAAGAAAATATTGAAAGAAAATAAGAGATTGACTCAAGAGGTCAAACAGCTAAAAAAACAAATGGCCGAAGAGCGAAATAACTTACAGGCAGCAATATCTTCATTAGAGAGACGGCTAGAGGCTAAACTACGACCACAAAACCCGACAGGAATAGCTGGAGGATGTAGTCAGAAAACGACATATCAACCGTCAATAAAACCCACCCTTTCGGGGGGCAGCGCGGCGTCGGCTGAAGTTGAGGAAGGTATGGCGTACGCAGGTACAACCACCCCTACCCCAAGCACGACAGTAAAAAACCACGACCAAATAACGCAGCAAATACAGGCACAGTTAGACAAAAACAGGGAAGGTATAGCTAACGTTAATAAACTGCTAGTCGATTTCATGAATGAGATAAAATCTTTCGTCTGCGAGGAATTAAAAACTCAAAGGCAGTACGTGAATGACGCTGTTAGCAGCTTGCAAAGGGCGATAAACAAGCGCTCTCGCTCGACCTCCGCTAGAAATAGCAAACAATCTAAGGGGAATCGCGACGACGCGGAAGCACCCATGCATCATGGCCAAAAATAACCTGAGAAGTGTGGAACGACTAGAGATCTGGCAGTGGAATTGCCGCACTTTTCACAAACGCGCCGCAGCACTCCAGAGTTATATCAATGCGGCACCAATTAAACCCGACGTTATATGCTTGCAAGAAATTGGTGCCAAAATAGTGAAGCTTCAGGGTTATTATATTTTTCAGAACCCAAACTATCCCCGCGTAGCGACGCTGGTGAGCAAGATGATTGCGGCAACAGATGAGTACATAGGAACGCTACAGATCAATCACCAAATTATCAGTTTATTGCCCCAAAAGAGAGGCAAAGCGAAGACTATAATAGTCAACCTATACAGTCCTCCAAAAGACAAAGGCGAAGACTTCAATGAGCTCCTTGCTGAGACGGTTAAAATCGCAGGCAACAAGGACCGCCTATTGGTTTTGGGTGATTTTAACGCACCCAGCACCACATGGGGTTACCCAAAAGACTCGCCGAAGGGAACGCGTCTCGAACATGCTGCGTCCAGGCTGGGCCTGAGTTTAATAACTCTCCCAATTGCGCCCACGAGAGTGGGCAACAGCGTATGTAGAGACACGTTCCCGGACCTCACTTTCACCTTCAACCTCAAAGACGCATCCTGGACAAACCTGGAGGAAAATCTAGGAAGCGACCATTACATTATAAGCGTCTCCATATCGACACCCAAAATGCGTAGATTGATAGGCGACGTGGCGATCACAGATTGGACTGAGTTTAGGAAACGAGATCCTCCACCAGACTCTGTACCGAACTCAATAGAGGCATGGTCGGAGTACATAAAGTCGGTACACGCCATCACTACGAAGAAAATAGCCAGAACCGTAGAGACGCCAGCAGTAGACAGCCGTCTGCTACACCTATGGGAGAGCAGGCGCAGCCTACTAAAGCGTTGGAAACGTCAACGCCTGAATAGGACACTACTGCGTAGGATCGCTGCTCTTGCAGAGGAAGCAAACGACTATGCCAGCAAATTGGCTACCGAGGGATGGGTCAAGTTCTGCAGTTCGCTTCAGAACACACTGAGCACCGCGAAAACTTGGTCCATCCTAAGAAATATTCTTGATCCAGACAAGTCCAAATCCACGACAAGCAGAACACTGCAGAAAATCGCAGAAACATTTCCGGGCACGGACGACGATCTCGTGAAAGCCCTTAAGGAGAGATATATTGGCGATAGTCCACCAAGTAACTCGGCTAATCACATGAGTTACAGTGGAGCTAGAAATGAGAAACTAGACGAGCCGATAACAAAGGAGGAGGTCTTTGCGGCAGCTCAGGCAGCCAAGAGGAACACAGCCCCCGGTGAAGACCAAATTACGAATGCTATGATAAGAAACCTTAGCGACAAAGCCATCGAAGGCATGACAAAACAATTCAATGAACACTATTGGCTCAAAGGAAAGGTCCCTGCAGAATGGAAAACGGCCAAAATTATAACCATTCCGAAACCCGGAAAAAAGCCCTCCCTGCAGGCGCTCAGACCTATATCACTTACGTCATGTATGGGGAAGCTTTTCGAACGGGTCGTTCAGACCAGACTTCAGAATTTCATAGAGGACAGGGGGCTGTTTCCGGCCACCATGCTGGGCTTCCGCAGTGGTCTCTCAACACAGGACGCTTTCCTCCTGATACAAGAAGAGGTACTCAAGGGTGTTCCCAAAGGTGGAGAGCATTTGCTGCTTGCTCTAGACTTAAAGGGAGCTTTTGACAATATCTCTCATGAAGCTATACTCTCAGAGCTAAATATAATTGGTTGCGGGGAAAAGATATATAACTATATAAAAGATTTTCTCACCGATCGGGAGGCGACAATTGGTATCTCAAGCGTTAGGTCTGAGCCATTCCGAATGCCAAACAAGGGAACGCCTCAAGGAGCCATAATATCTCCTCTGTTGTTTAATATCGCCATGCGTCGACTCGCTCGGGCCTTGGATTGTGTACCACAGCTAGGTTATACCCTCTACGCGGACGACATTACTCTGTGGGCCACAAGGGGGTCCCTGGCCAGCAAAGAGCAGACTCTGCAAGAGGCGGCACTGGCTGTCGAAAACTTTGCCAGAACCAGTGGTCTCAGCTGCGCACCCGAAAAATCGGAGGTGATCAGAATACACAGCAAACGCTACAAAAGTAACGGAAGAATAGAAATTGAAATCGAAAAGCAGAAAATTAAAGAAGTCACCATCGCCCGGATTCTGGGTTTCTGGGTTCAAAGCAACGGTAGGGCAAATCACACTATCGGTCTTCTTAAATCAGCAACTAAACAAGTGGCTAGAATGATTC